TATGAAGCCTCTAGATATCATAAGCTTCTGCAAATACAGGCCATCTAGGCTATGTGGGAATGCATATGGCGTGGAACACATTTTGGTTTTGGGGGCACCCTCTGGGATAGATTCTGGCAGAGATCCACAACCTTTAGTTGCTATACCTCTCTCCAGCTCAGGGTTTAGGGGTTAGGCTTTAAGGTTTAGGGGCTTAGGCTTCAAGGTTTAGGGTTTGGGGCTTAGGCTTTAAGGTTTAGAGCTTAAGGTTAAAGGTTTAGTGGCCTACCATCACCGTGGTTTAGGGCCTCGCTACCATCACCGTGGACATCAGCCTCCACGCTTCAAGTTTAGGGTTCGGAGACGGGCTTTCACAGGAATTGCCACTTCTACAAACCCTAGCTTACTGGGGATCAGTCGGGAAGAAGGGCACATACTATTTATGCAGGGTTTAGGGTTTAAGGTGTCTCAGTGAAAGGGTGCGCTGGTGCTGGAGGCACCCAGGCGCGCACCCTGACCTGCATGAGCCCACCCCCGCTGGCGCTGCACCCTCGTTTTGCCCTTCACGGGTTTAGGGTTCTCTTGAACTCTGATGGCGCTCCCGTCTTCTTATTGTTTTTTGCACCTGTCTGGTGGGTGCAAGGTTTGGGCAGGGTCTGGCTCGAGGCTTCTTGTGTTTTCTTGAGATTGAGAAGCGCGAGGTTTGGGTTTGGGTCTTATTCGAGGCCTCTAGTTTCCTTATGTTTCCTTCATGTTTTCTCTCATGGAGCCTTGGCTGGAGTTCGTCGAGCCTTAAACCACTTGGACAAGGCGGGTGCAAGGTTTGGGTCTGGGTCTGACTCGAGGCCTCTACTTTTCAGATGGAGCCTTGGCTGGAATCTGAACGAGTGCATCTGTCTACGCTAGGCGGGTGCAAAGTTTGGGCTGGGCCTGGCTCGAGGCGTCTTGTTTTTTGTTTAAGATGGAGCCTTCAATGACTTGAACCTGACTAGACTAAGCGAGTGCACAGTTTGGGTCTGGGTCTGGTTCGAAACCTCTGAGAGGGCCTGCAAGGCCTGGAAAGCCCACCTGAAAAATTCTCAAAAAGGTTGGAGCGCTTGTGGGGGCTGGGAGTTCCGTGGTCAGCCGGAGGGCTCGCGTTCGCCCTGCTCGACGGCCCCAGGCTCACTCCGTTTAGGATTTAGGGTTTAAGGTTAGTAGGGAATAAAGGAATATAGTATATAGGGGTTATATATATCTATATATAGAGGGGTCATATGTTTGGGGAATCCATATTCTTACTGGCGGTTAGTCAGGAGTAAGGGAATACGGTATATAGGGCCGTAATGACGGATCATATTCCTTAATTCCCTACTAACCACCAGTACGCTAGTGAGGCTGGAAGGACAGCAATAGCAGCAGCAGCAGCAGCAGCAGCAGGAAGAATCACGCAGCCTTGTCAAGCTCGGAGGTGTGCCAAGTAGCCGTTCAAAACGAGATTGCGATATAAACTGCGCGAAACCGTGACGATAAGTCTGGCCCATGATTCATTCACATAATGCCATAATACCAGACAACCGTGCAAAATATTGCTTTGATCCCAATCGATTTGCTGAACCTACACCCGAAGTGCCAAACGCATCTTGGCTGAATAGATGAGAGTCTGCTGCGTGCTCCATGTACTCGCCCGGAAGCTCCAAGACTCGCATTACCACCTCAAAGACGCAATAACAACAGTAGTGTAATGATACTACTAGTAGTAAGAAGAGTGTTAATAGTAACAAGTCATTGTCAGGCTAGGACTGAATGTTGATAAGGCGGGTAGCGCATCGGTTTAGTTTGTTTCGGTTGCGCTCAGAGGCAGGGGGTTTGGGAGTGGGAAAGTTCAAGATGTTCATGGTTGAGGACGGAAAAGTTGGGAGGCAGGGCCCGTCAAGTTTTGATTCCGGGTCCTCATCCCTCCCCCTAATAGTCAGACTTTGCACTCCCCGAATAACAGATAGTACCATTACAGTATACTGTATTTTGATGGGAACTTTCATCCTTAACTTGTTTTTAACTAGGGGGGTTGCTTTACCCGGTTCTCCCCAAATCTCCCTCGCGACGACGGCGCCGCCGCCCGCAGCGCATTGAAGCTGAGGTGTGTGGATTGATTTCACTCAACCTAACTTTGCAGAGGGTTACAAAAGGCAGGGAATCCGCTGGAGGTTCACTCAGGTGCAAAACATGGGCCTTTGGTCACAGGAGGCCAATAGGAAATGGACAAAACCTAAATCAAGAAAACCAAAACCCTCTGGTGGGCGCGTCCGAAGTTCCAGGACAAACACGGGCCAAGACAACTTCTCCAACCACCCAACCGGCAGCCGCATGCAGCCACTACCGGTTCCACTTTGATCGTCAACAAGCAGCTAGCTAACTCTGGGGAAGCGGTCATATTCCCACCACACCCTGTCATCCCACAGGCTTGCGTCTCGGTATGGTGGGATACCCCGGGTTTGCATACGTCACAATTGACAACGGGCAGGGTCTCACAGTCATGGCTCCTCTAGGGCCCCGCCAAATCGAAATATCGCTAAGGTATGCCCACAAAATCATCCGGCCCTTAGTATATGACACCCCACAAAATGGATCCATAGCTTTGGGAGACTCTGAAGTCCCTCTGCATACATCTACATATTCTTAAACACATCTACGTCTACGTATGAAGATGCATGTGTCTGTACTTGTGCCGAGACATGTTACACAAGTACGTATATGAATAACAAATACACTTACACAGACAAATACACATACATCTACTATACATGTGTATGTAACTGTATGTACATGTAGACTACGTATATGTACCTGTACGCAGACAAGACCATATACACATACAGAAAAATAAACATTTACATACGCACATGCCCGTACCTTCTATGTATATACCTGCCTGGGTACACCTATGTTATCTCTGCGTGGGCCCCTTGGAGGGAGCCGCAACTTTTGCAAAAACCCGAGACTCCGGACCCTAAACACCACATTTCGGGAAGCCAAATAGGTCGGAAGCTCCAAACCCTCAGCCCTAAACCGCATTGACAGGGCCTCGAAAGCAGAGAAGCCCACATCGCTGGCGAGGACTTCCTGGGGCTTAGTCTTTACCTTTTTGGGGTCTAGTATTGAAGGCCTATTTGATGGTGTAAAATTTGAAAAGTTTGGGGGCTTAGGATTTAGGATTGAGGGCTGGGGAGGTTTTCTCTAGGGGAAGATAATGATCAGAATTTGAGGCTCAGGGAGCTATAACAGCATTAACATTCTCTGTAATTTTGAGGGGGGTCCCTGGTTCAGGGTTTACTGGTTTATGGTTCAGGGTAGCACCTTCTACAACATATCCTGCTGGGTGCTTAGGATTTCGGGCTGGCGGCCTACAAAGTGTTGAAACATCTCGGCAGTAATGCTTCCGCAGGCTAGTCACGGCCAGAGCACAGCACTCAGGTTACATGATGTAGGTGTGTATTGCGAGGCCTCTGCCGTCCCTAAACCAGCATGGAACATGGAACCCCAACGACAATTGAACTTCAAGCATAAAGCGGAACCCTGCAAACAAAGAACTCTGATAGTCAACCTGTTCACAAAAAGAGTGCAAGCTTACATTTGCTCCGACCTTGCAGGAAACGTTTACAACCTGTCAGGCAGCGTGCAAAATCTACATGTGCTAAAGAACCCTTATAAATAGGGACTATATATGTATGTACTTACATATGTATATATCTTTAATCACCCTGATGTAGGGGCCTTAGTTGCTAGCATAGATCCAAATTATACACGCATCACAAAGACAAAACACCACAGATTCTTCAGGTGGCTACGTGCTTAACATACAACGTACATCCTGAACCCTAAGCCGCCAATAATGCGATGGCTTCCATGTTTTTTCCACTTCCAAAGTTCCGAAGCCTTGAATCCGAAATCCTCCGATGTTCACAGCCAGGAGACGCAAAGGTCGGCAAAGCCCTCGAGAAGCTCTTGGTCCTCTTCGTGTTGCAGTCTCCCAAAATCAAAAGTTTTTTGGGGGTTCCTCTGTGAAGGATTCTTGTGTTTCAGTGTCTATATGGGGGTCCCCCATGGAAATCCGACACAGTAGTAAGAATACCGTTGAGTAGGCCATGGCAAATAGCACTAAAAGAAGTAAGAGTAACACCTGAATATACGTAGAAATTGGATTAACATACAGGATTCATAGGATTCGGATGAAGAAGCCGTGGTCTGAAACACCTAGAAGTGAGTGATGTCATCTGCGGTATGCACATGCAGGGCCCTTCCAAGGGGACAAAGCCATTTGCAAAAAATATAGATGTTTGAACAGCTTCGTCGAAACCCCACTAGAATGCGAAGGTGGCATTGTTCAAATTGTTCATGTTCACCTACTCATACCTGGACGCCAAACTCTGAACCCCAAATCATAGGGTGAGCCCACCAATCACCAGCAAAAAACACAAAATCAAAAATACAGAAGGTTGGATAAATTTGGCCACGAGAAGCCTTGTGTTTGAGATGTTCGGCTGCGGGCTTTCATTGCAAATGTGCAAACACACAGGGTTAAATCCAGAGACCGCGCACGAGTCCAACAAGAAGGGTTCTTCTTGAACGGAGTGTTCGTGACCGGACTTTCTACATCTGGCCACACCTGCGTAGCGTTCTTCTGGTGGTTGAACCAAGCAACATAATATTCTTTCTATGATACTATATATACCCGAAAGGAGAACACAATCTTACTCCATATTGGGTACGATAGTAGCTGCAAATAAAATATTACTCACCCTGAGAGCCCACTTCGTACAAGAACCATCAATCTTCAAGAGTCTGCACAATGCAGGAAGGGTAGAGAATCCTTCCAGAATTCAGAGAAGATCTTTACAGAACCCAAACAGGATCTTTGTTACATCCAAACGGAAATTTGGAAGCCTGATATTCAGAAGATCCACGATTCCCCCCTTATGGAATACAACGTTCCTATGCCACACGTGCTAATCAGCCCACAACACAAGAGCCCTCTTGCAGTCCTGCAAGAGCTCGGATGCGGCCTGCAGGGCCTCCACGCCCCGCTCACTGAGCACCTCACTAGCATCAAGAACGACGATTATGCTATATTCCACAAAACATATGCCGCAACGTTCCAAATATGAATAGCAGGACATGATAGCAATGACGGATATGTTAAACAAGCTATGACGGAACCAAGCAATGTCGAATGGATTTGGTCCTAACTAGCAACATGTCTCCAATGCTGGAAAAAATCGGACTGAAGGAAATGTGCCACAGTGTTGGTTGTTGGTTTGAGGCTAGTTCACTCTTTTCCGGTGCTCGTTCTGCGTGTCCGGCTGCAGGATCTGCGCTCCTCCCACCTTTATTAATACATGACACCAGCTGGTGTGACGTGTTATGCTTGCAGGCTCTTATGGACATTTGTCAATACCTGTTTCAAACAAATCTGTCGCCCTCGACCTGTGCAGGAGATTGCAGGAGAACCCGGTGCACGAAAACAATGAACTCATAAAATCCTGCTCAAACGCTGCAGTCCGCCCCTAGACTTGCACATAGTCCTTGACAGCCTCATACAATATCTAAACCAAAGCCACTAAAACTAAACCCTTAACCCTGACCCCTATAACATACTATATAGCCAATATTACCCATTATCCCCACACAGCCCAATATAACCCCTATATAACCCGATATATCCCTTGAAAGCAACCCCAGCCTCCAAAGCTGGACCTTTCAGGATGCCACCGATGAACTCCCAAGCGGCATCATCACCACCTGGTCTCGAATGCTGTAGGCTTAGGGATAAAGGTACCTTTAAAGGGGATATATAAGGACATATACGGATATGTAAGGATATATAGGGATATGTATAGGATCTAGGCATCAAAAAACTTGTCATGCATCGTAGTTGTGGCTCTCAGCTTCCCCGTAATCATCTCCGGTCAACATAGGATTGCGGCACTCAAGCACGGGTGCTTGAAACAATAAAGGGTTGAGCCTTCTCTGGCCGAGCCGCACCCAAAGCAGCTTCTCCACCCTTCCGAAACTAAAGTGGACCAGACCTAAAGTGGACCGCCTACATCCCTTTTTATCCAGCTCTTTTCTCTTTTAGCCCCGAAACCATAGATCGCCAACTCCCAACCATACCTCGCAAGCAGGTCAGCAAGTCATGGTAACAATCTGCATCATCAAATTGCGAAGACAAAGGCTGGCAACGTGCAACTCTTCTTAATCGTCCCCACTCTCACACTGCATGTTGATTGCTAGCCTTCTTCACACACAGGTACTTTCTTTCGAAGCACGCCTCACCAATAAACCCCCAGAACAGATTGATCCTGGCTCTGCAAACCTTTAGACCTGAACTTGGAGCTCAAGCAAACTCCGAACTCTGAATGTCAAACTCGCCACTCAACCAAGCCCTGAACCCCTAAACCCAAAACTCAAGTGGCTCACACATCTTCTACTCAAGCCCCTCAAAACTCAAGTGGCTCACACATCTTCTACTCAAGCCCCTCACGGAAGAGGCTTGGTGCAGCAGCCAAGTGCCTCAGCCACACAGCTGATTTTGTAGCTTATACATCAAGGTTTAGGGTTCAGGGTTTAGGAGGTTTCGGGCTACGGTACAGGGTGGGTGGCTTCGCATGACTAAGCTGCTGCTAATACCACGCTCATGAAATCAGCTTCTCCTCTTTCCTGTCCTGTGATTGAAACTGCTATTGCGATCATTGCCACTGGTACTCCGTTATGATGTCTACAACAAAGTCTGCCTATACGAATCACGCAGATTTGTTGTTTTAGAATTTTTAATCTTAGGAGCCGAAGCGTGCAACAACAAAAGTACGCTGCTACACCTGGTGCCAGCTCAAAGAGCTATCCCCAAACCCCCTTGGGCAGCCCCAAGCCCTGAAGCCCCAGAAGCCTTCAAGTCATCCCTAGACCCTAGAAACCCCAAATTTCCCCTAAACTTTAAGGCGCTGGCTTCTCCTAAGAAGAAATCGGTCTCCTGCTGCGGGCTCCTTTCCAAAAAAGAAATCTGCTGGCAAGCACGATCCTGAGACGGGATCTGGTTTCCGGAGCCCTTCCAAAAGAAGATCGGGTTGCAGACCTCTTTCCTACAACAAACAGGAAAATTCAATTTCCAAAATTGGAGCGGCGCGTTCCGTAACAGTGGAACCAATCTTGATTGTTGAGGTCCAACTTATGTTTAGGGCAGCCCCGTGCTTTTTGGAAGACCATGTTGGGCTTTTTTGGGCTTTTGGGTAACACTTGTCATCTCTGGAGTGGTTTTGCCTTCTGGTGGCCAGGTCGCATTGGAAGCCAATTTGCACCCTGTTGGAAGCTATTTTGGTGTTTTTATGGGCCTGGAACCACTTCATGCCTTTTGAAGCCAATTTGAAGCCACTCTGGAGCCTCTGGGTAAGCCAGTTGAAGCCAAGTCGAGCCTTCTTGTTTTGGCAACTTTCAAAAAGCGAACGCGGCCGTTTCTAATTCAACAAATGCATCCAAAAAAAACACCTTTTCCAACTCATGTATAAGGCAGTTTGGCCTTCTGGAGGTCATTCTAACGTTTCGGGTAGCCCTTTTCGTCCTTTGGGCGTCGTTTTTGCGTTTTGGTGGCCATTTTGGCGTTTTGGGAGCCATTTTACCCTTTCGGAAACCATTTTCCCCTTTTGGAAGCTATGTTTGGGCTTTTGTGGGCCTGGAACCATGTTGTGCCTGTTGAAGCCAATTTGAAGCCTCTCTGGAGCCTCTGGGTAAACCTTTTGAAGCCAAGTTGAACCTTCCGGTTTTGGAACCTTCAAAAAGCGCACGCGGCCGTTTCAAGTTCAACAAATGCATCCAAAGAAAAACAAAACGCTTCCAACTTAGGTTTAGGGCAGCCCCCCCTAAGAGAGGGAGTTGACTTGGGCGCCGAGCTGCACTGGCGGACCCTAAGCCCTAAACATTAAACCGTAGACCCTACACCCTAAATCCTAAATCCTAAACCCTTATCCATAAACCCGAAGCCTATGCTACCGCTGCACCCCAAGGCACAAGGTTGTGGAGGCGGAGAGATGCGCAGGAACTTCTAGGCCTTGGTGGTTAGGACGAGGAACTTTTTAGGGTTTAGGTTGGGTCATTCCCCCACCCAGTAACTGTCCTTAAAGGGGGCCTTATTGAGAGGCTATTATAATTCCTATAACCCATTGTGGCAACAGTTACTGTAAGGGGGAATGACCCAAGGTTTCGGATAGGTTTTAGGGTTCTGGGAGTGAAGGTCAAAGACTTTAGGCTGAAACTGCAGGACTGAAGAGGATACCCCCAAAAAAAAGAAACATGAAAGCCCATTTAGGCGTTTTCCACATTAAGTTTCCTTTTTGGGGGTTTTTATGGTAAGGAGTCTAGTATTGTGGGTCTACAGTGGGGTCTCATTACTTTGTGAAACCATATAGGTCCCTGTAGATGACAGCAGTCTCTCTAAGGCCCTGTTTAGGGGTCCATGTGGCAGCCCATTTGGTGTTCTCAACGCAGGCCTCCACGTAGCCCTAATGTAGGAGGCTAAATAATGACAAACATACTTGAGGTCTATTTGAGGTACCCTATACCATAATTATACAAGGAATCTTGAACCACAAGAATAGAAATTATTCAGGCCCCTGTACTCATGCAAAAACCCCTGAGCCTACAAGTACGGGATATAGTGAAGGCCCGCCAGGTCAGGTTGATTATTCGGCATATCGTTTTCGTGGTCGAAACGGACAATTACCCTCCCCCAAATTAACATAAGATCCACCAAAGAGCCCCATGAAGACATTTCTGTTTTAGGACCTTGGGTTCCATGTCGGCAAACTTGCGCCTCGACTTGGGCGTGCATCCTGACCTTTATATGTGACGCTTGTACACTGACTTTTGCCTGTCTAGACCGATACCTGTCTCCCTCTCCAAACCACTCTTCATTCCAGACCCTACCCTATAACTTGGTAGTTTCCCTAAATAAGGACACCCAATATAGACCCCAAAATACTATGCTCCTTATTATAGGGGCCCCCAGAAGGTACCCCTATAACCTCCAGAAGAGCACCATAGCCTTCTCCCACTCACCCTGCCATGCATCCCTTGCCGAAAAGTCGCAAAGAATTCGAGTCGATCTGAAGCGGTTAAAAAGGCAGAGCAGCCTCCCATCTCAGCAACCCAGCTACTCAGATCAGGAAGGCAGCCCTGCAACCCTTCATGCATCCCCAATGATCCTTAAATCTTTCCTTCACTGTTACGAGTTCTACCATCACAATTAGGATTACAGTTACTAATTACTACGGTTACTACGGTTCCTACGGTTACTACGGTCACTACTACTACGACGACGACTACTACTAACAAAGCCACGTCACCAAGTTGGCTCTCCGACCAGTCTTCCGGGAAGGAAACCTCCCCGGCATCAGAACCCAGGCCCTCTTTTAGGGCGGCTCCATTGTTGTGATTACAGTTATTAATATAGCAACTGCTATTATTGCTAGTGTGAACATTACTGCTATCATTACTACTCTTACTGTTATTACTGCTTCTATGATTGTTACTACTCTTATTAATTTTGAGCTAAGCCTGGGAGCTCTACAGTCTCAGACCCAAGGGGCAGAGGATCTGCGTGCTATTCTGAGCGGTAGTAAGGGAAGTCTCAGAAGTTGGGGAACCCCTGAAACTGGGCATTGCAAGGAGGCTTTCGAGGAGACCCTTGAGAATTATGTAAAAACACCTCTGAGAAGCCTGTTACATAGACACCAGCCCTACATGACAGCGGCTACAAGACCTGTTCGAGAAAAAAAAAAAAAAAAAACATCCGTACTTGCGCAACCTTCCTTAAGCAGTCATCCCAGCCAGGACAGCACGAGAGCCGACGCCTAAAAGCACTAAATCTTGAACTGGAGCGGAAACCTATGACCCTGAAACCCCTCCTACCTCAACGTCGAACCCCAAACCTCAAACGCTGAGGCGCCCAATGCCGCATGCTCTGTAAGACAGACAAAGCTGCAGGAAGGACCAGGCCTGAATCGAGAAGGTATCCATGACGGATGCCATTGTCTTCTCCAACTCATCGTCATTGTCGACCTCTGCGAAAGAGGTAGGGTCCAGAACTTCGAGGATCATATTTAGGGTTTAGGGTTTAGGGTTTAGGCATGGTATGTTGGGATATGTAGCGGAACCCCTGATTTCGGGAACAAAAATGGCTCTACAATCATTGTTCACTGCACCTGTATCTAAGTGGAGCCAGTATGAGCCAGTGTACACCTGAAACCCTTGGGATCTCTGTAGCAGTTCTGATGACTGCGATCTGTAATATCAAAGCAAACTATAGTTTCAGGACTAGAAGCTCGCAGGTTGACATGATGGAACTCTAACATGGCGATGCGCTCTAGTGCAGAGGTACCTCCCTGACTCCCATGTGCCAAGCAAAACGCTTAGGTCCTCCGCCGACTTTGGGGTCCCTTAAGCAGTATATTGAGGCAATATAGGGTTTATATTAGGGGTTGTATGGGGATAAGCACTATTTCGGGTTGAGGATTTTGTTTCCTGTCCTTAAGACAATTCAGGGTTAAGGCGATGAAGGTTGCTGAGAACTGACCATCAGAGTACCTTCCCAGAATTTTGCCAGAGAAGCTACAGAACTACCCAGCTTGAGGACTCGAGGCATCTCTTGTCAGGCCCCGGGTTGCAGGGTGCTTGTGGCTAACTAACGCACGTAGCAAGACACATGTGCCATGCGCCAACTAGCATCCCAACGTAATGCTGAAACGAAAAATAGCAAGCTCTAGAACCCCGAATGGCAGACAGACAGTCGCTTCAGGCCGCGGAACTTGAAGCAAGAAGAACTGCCTGTTACACATACCTTGGTCCATAACACATCAAGTTCCTTAAAGTCAACCCAGCTTTGAGGCACAGCTGTCTTGATCATGCCGCAACCTTGCGAAGATCTCCGTGCACCTGCCTTCCAGAATTCGGAGATGTTAGAAAGTAGAGCTGGGGCGGTTGCTCGGGATTATATAGTGAGCCACATCACACGAGCCATCTTTACCAGCTGCGGAACGGAGTTATGATGTGAGTTTCCGGGGATGTCTACTCCCATCTGCTTCTAACTATTTGCTGAACCCTAACAACTTCTGGCACAACTCCTGGCTCAGACCCCACACTCCAAATTACACCTGAACCCCTTCACACTCAAGTTTGGGCCGCGGCAAGAGCATGTCTCCAGAGGATGGCACCCGACGAGCTGTCTAGCTGGAGGCAGGCAGGCAAGTCTCCTGCGGGACTTGGGTGTGAGGTCAAGTTTAGGGCATTGGCTAAATATACTATGTAATACGAGAATCATATATGATATTATACTATGTTATACTAGATTATACTATGATATACTAAGGGTTCAAGGCTTGAAGTCTCCAGATTGCAGGGTCTTGTGGGAATGTCTAGAGATAAGTCACACTGTGGGGAGTTGGAGGCTGAGACTCAGGGTCGCTGTGCCTTTATGGGTGATTATAAGTAGGGCCTGACTACCCCAAGTGAACCCCTAAACCCTAAACCCCTGAGAACCTGAAGTTAACTGTGAACTACCCTCATTTGGCATTCAGGGGGTGCTGAATATAGGGTTTCTGAAGATAACGGGTACCTGTCTGCTGGGTCCCTGTAAGGATCATAGTGTTTTGGGGTCTATATTGAGGTCCCCCATTTTGGGGAAACTACCATATCAACGGGACAAGTCCTTCAACCAGCTGGAAGTTCAACTGTAAGTTCGCCAAGGCATTGCTGGCCTCTCAGGCGTCAGGAGCAAGGGAAATTCTGCTCCTCAGGTTCCTAAGCTGGTACTCTGGTATTCCCTAAAACCTTGCTTACTCGGAAACATCCCCCCAACACTCCCAAAATGCGATGGAAGCCCAAGAAGACAGAAACCTACAGGTCCCAAAGCCTCATCCACAAGGCCAAACTAAGCAAGTGGAGCACATGTTTTGTTGATTGCCAGACTAGCTGAGGTACAGCTCCAAATTCGCAGCTCAGGAGCACGTGAATAAGTTGTTCTCTCTGTTGCGATCCCTGTGATGCCTGGCCCCTTGATTCTATCTACTAGACGGGGACTATAACCCAAGCCTAACACCCAAGATACACTTCAGTATAGACCCTGTCAGAACTCCCATGCTCGCATGGGGTTGTGTAAAACCCCGGTCCTTTTTTACTTGACCCGGGGAAAGATGCTATCGTGCGATTTTCCTCTTATCGCGTTTTCGAGTTTTGGGCCTTATCGTTTTCGCTATCGTCTGTTTTCCTCTAAATGTTTTCCCAACTAAAACCAGATGTTTTGCGCTGCGCAGCGCACCAGAACATAACCCTCTGGCACGGGCTTCATTATACAACCCCACATGGGCCAAGAACCTTAGTCCCATCATTCAAGCCCCTGCTCCTCTGCTCCTATCCCTGCTCGAGCTCAGAACCCTGTATCCTTGAAGCCCTGGACCCTGAACCCCTTGAACCCTTGAGCCCTAAATCCCCCCCCAACCTTCTAAAGCGTCGAAATCTCCAGAGCCCCCAAAACCTCCAAACCTGAAACAAAAAACCCTGAAAGCCAAAGAGCCTCGCCCAACAGCAGAATCTCGCGGGGATCCGCGCCCTCCTCCCTCTCTCGTAATACCTGCCACGACGCAAAGGGCCAGCGTTGAGGGCAAGGGCTAAACTCCATAAAGGGCGCCATAAGGGACTACTATAGGGATTCTTAAGGGGGAGATTAGGAGTTTTTACTATAGCTCAAATGGGGTTCAGTAGAGGGTTAGAGAGCTTAGAGTTTCGAGTGTTAGGGTGTAGGCTCTACACCCCAGCACTCGAAACTCTAAGCTCTCTAGAGTCTCGAGGTCTGGGCTCAGAGTTTAGGGTTTGTTCGGTTTAGGGTCTTGAGGCTAGAGGGCTTACGGCTTAGGGCTTTAGGATTTTACGGTTGAGGGCTGTAGGGTTGGGACTTAAGGTTAGGGTGCTTGGATTTCGGGTTTTAAGATCGGCAACCCTGAGGAAGATGTAGAGCTTACAATGGGGTTACGGGTTTTGTTCCGGATTGTATAAAGGCAGTGTTGACACACATGAGGGTTCATAATCAAGGCACTGATTTAACTTGATGCCGTATGGCTTCGAGGCCTCTGTTTGTCATTCTGTTGTGGGAGTCCTTTGGAGATGGATGAACACTGAACCACACACCCCAGAATGTGTTGAATCCTTTGGGGCTTTCCTTTGCTGTCATGACAGCTCAAGCTCAGTAATCCAAGAAAGTAGGCAGCTGGACCAAATCACCCTTTGCTCAAATCATGAGACTAGGTAAGACACAGCTCCCCTTAACGAAGAGGGCTCATACAACCCCATCACTTTTTGCTGAAAATACTTTCTGGCCTTGCTGGGGTGTTTCTAGTCAAGCAGACATGAAACCAAATACTTACTGGTTCTTAGTGGGAATACTAGAATACTAGTAAGGGAATAAAATCCCCTTGTTCCCTACTAAGCCCAAGTAAGAATATGAATTCCCCAATCAAAGGCCGAAGGAGAGAAGCTAGGCTGCCGAGGATGCAGTTGGAAGTGTATGACCCTATGCAGCCCTATTGTAACTTCACTATTACCCTATATAACCCTGTTAAGACCCTTTTACAACCCCTTATTATCCCTATCGGGATAGTTGCTAGCTCAAGGCTTTGTGGATGCTCCGGAAACCCTTGCAATTTGACAAGCCGTGCAATGATGCTGGATGATAGATAAGCAGGACTCGTAAGCCAACAAGCGACTCACTAGGAAGCATATAGCAGTCCCTCAAGATACCCCGCTCTTTAGCATGTCCCCGGAAACAAACTTCGTAAAATTCGAATCTTGTCTGCTTGGTGTCCCCTGTGAGTGTATATGATAATGCGTTAATTTGAGAATTCTATAATGTTCGTAAAAACATAATAAAACCCCACCCTCCAACTCAAAGAACAGGCACTGAGGCTGGGACCACTCGTGGAAAAAACTTGCCGGCCGTCTGATTCTCATCCTGGGCACATGGGATACCGGAGTTCAGGGTTTAGGGTTTGAGGGTTTGGCGGTTTAGGGGTGTCAGGGTTTAGGGTTTTGGATAGCTTCTTACTAAACATCTCCCTCTTGCATGGCCCCTAGTTGGGATCTTTACATCCCTCTTGTGCACTTTGTAAGATACAAAACGGATGGGCGCATGATTGGGGCTCCTGGTTAGGATCTCAGGGATCTGGGGGTTTAGGGATGTCTCATGAGCACGCCGGATATTTTTAAGGCTATGACAGTCATCTGTAATCTCACACCACCTGCATCATGTATATGTCAAGATGGCCAATGCTGACACTATGAATGCCAGTGCAAGGTTGAGTTCGGATAACACTCATAACATGCTTAAGTATAGTATAATTCCGTCACACCTCGAAAAAGGAAAAACATGGAAAAAAACTTCCTGCAGCAGTTACCAAGCATCCAGACCAGGAAGCACGCAGGTCCAGCTCGGATATTGGAGATGCAGCGTGCCTTGTCTCAAGGCTTGAAATCACAAAAGTAAACTAGTATTGGTAGTTGTTCAGCCCCATAACCCCTGATATGAACCCAGCTTCCATGGCATTTTCCATGTTCTTGTCCGTTTCAGTTTCCCTCCACAAGATTCAACGGTTTAGGCCCTGGGATATCATAGATATGTCACAGTGCACCGAAGCTTATTCTTGAGCAAGTGCTCGGGAGCTCGTCATGGAAAGCTCGATGGACGAGACCCGGACACTTCAAATGAGGATTGAGACGGGTCAGTCTAAGTTTGAGAGTTGCCCACATCACCTTCTGAAACTTGTGACATCTTTGGCAGGAGAGATTCCCGGCCATCCGAAAGCCTGAAACTACACCAGATCTGCGTAATGACTTACATCCTCATGCACCGAGTCCTATTTAAAAACATTTTCATCGGTAGAAACATGCTCCCATCAACCCTCACCCCAAACCCCGGCACTGATGTGGGCCAGGCACATATCTTCTGCGGAGCCTGCTCTCCGGCCGAAGCCTTGACCTTCGGACTCTCGAGCACGAAGGATTTGCTCCAGCTGGTCTGATGAATCGACTGCCTCCCACTGCGCAGAACAAACAATATTCTGAATGGAAAAACAAACGGAAACGAAAATGGAAAATGAATTAGAAACTGCGCATCATATATTACAGTTATATCACTATAAAGAGATACTTAGGGATAATGGAAAGTCAAATAGAAAAGCAAATGGAAATGAAATGGAAACTGCTATTGCGGAACTAGGGCTATACTGTTCAATACTGTGAATAGAGAATCAAGTCGAAACCAGGCATTGTAAATTCTATATATATATATATATTTACATATATATATATATAGGGGTGTATAGGGCCTATAGGGGTACCTAGGGAGAATGGAAAAGGAAATGGAGATCAAATGGAAAGCTGGTATATGTAGGGGTTATGGGGCTGTACAAAGCCTTGGATTTCTCCTAAAGGGTCACACTCATGGATCAAAGTAGCTAGGGCTCATACGAGGATCATAAATATCTTAAGAGTCCTGCCGCTGCAGGGCGACGGATTACGAATAGAAAATGCTGACTGACAACTGAAATCAACAAACTGGGCCCTTGTACTTTAAAATACAACCAAGATCCTTCAAACTGTCGAAGGGTGCCATGGTGCTTCAACCAAGACCCACCACAAATGTTTGCTGAGTGGGGCGTCCGGTACCGAATCTTGCTATACCTAACGTCTGAGCTTCGGTACGGCAAGTGTGCAACATCAAGCGTTTGAGCCGGCAATTATGCGTTCGCCTGGGGCACCTGGACACGGATGTTTTGCCTGGTAGGGCGTCCGGGACCAACAAATGGCAAAAAAAACTGCGCAGCTTGCTGGTGAATGTTCTATTGTTCTAATCTGGGTTTTTGGGAAATGTATGAGAACGGGACATAACTTCCTGCTGTACGCTGGGTCTGGGCCGCCCACCCAATATATTAACTCTAAATATACCACAATGGGGAGGGGATTAAATGGGAAAACCGTAAGCCGGGCCAAGGCCATAAACTAAGTGAGTTTGTTGGGAAGGAGCATTGACCTACGCCAACACTACCAAGCGTCCCGAATAGTCATGTGCCATCATGCCCGCCCAAGCTCACATGCCGGGAAACCTGAACCCACCTACCCCAAACCGTGATTCACTAAACCCTAAGCCCTGAATTTTGAAAAGTTAATCCAGACCCTACCCGAAAACTCAGAACCCTACGATCCCCAGCCTTACGAATAGCTGCAGGCGTATTCGAACGCAGGCTGCAGACGCACAGCGGTCCGGCAAGGGGGTTAAGCCGATACCTTCTGCTTTTTGGAGGCTTCGGGTTGGGAGGCTTCAAGGCTCGGGGTTTAGGGTTCAAGGGCTGCGGATATCTGTCTTATGCTTGAAAATGTATGGTTTGGGAATTATAGGGTGTGGCCACTAGGCTACCAGGGAATCCAGCTGATGCTTTGAGAGCAGCGTTACAAAGGTTGAAAAAAAACGGCCAAACAAAAAGGATTTCCAGCTCGGGGATTGGCATAAGCCAAAGGTCCTTGCAGGTCACTCTGCTGTCGGCAGTGCTTCCATGACGTGACATCAGAGAGCCAAAACACTTTCCATGGCCCTGATGGCAGAATCCGACAAGCAAAAAGAGCGGCTGGCACACTTCCAGGCTAAACGTATGTGCAACATGAAAAAGAAGGATGTGATCCCTAACATCCAAGATTCCCACCTTGTTTCCGAGCACCCAGAGCTCATGTTACGACCAAGTTACCCGTGGCTTTAAACTTTCCGGTGGTCAAGACTTGGGGATCTTCTGAGAAGCATGTATTCGGCAACCTCCAGCACTCAGCACTTCTACCTTGCCCTAGACCCCAATACCACATATTCCTTCATTGCTATTGGAACCTCCAAAACGGTACCTCTAACTAGCAAAAACCACATATAGTTTTCGTAGAACCCTAAATCTTTAGCAGCTGCCAAGGCACATGTATCCTTCGTCGCTGCCGCGCATGCCTGCGACAGAACGAGTCAATGGTTTAGGGTAGAAAGTTTAAATTATCCCTACGACCCCCTTTAAAGAGCTCTCTGCGAGTGCTGCTATTTGAATCTGAGGTCAAAAACCCTGAAACCATAAAACCACCAGCCGCTCGCAAAGCCTTGGCAACCAGCTCGCTCGCCGACAGTTGATCCTCCACAGGCTTGCCATCGGGTTGATAGCTACAGTCCTGCATGACCCCTTGCACACCCTTTGAAAGGAGGTGGATATGTAGGAATATTGAGGGGTATTGAGAGACAAATAGGGAAAAGGAGATTCCACGTAGGAATTCGATTGCTTGTTTTAGATTGCGGTTGATGGACACAATGCGGCATGACCCGATGTGCCTGAAGCGTGCGAATTACAGTATGGTCCAATGGTAGTGGGTAGTGCAGTAGACTTTGTAGTTTCCATAAACAGGGGGCCCCAACAGAACTTCAAAGCTATAATCCTTGTATGGGGGACCCGCAATTAAGTATCCTCCATATGTGCAGGACTTGATCCATCAACAGCAGGTTGCCCCAACTGCAAGGCCAATTTTTCTGTAACTGCGGGGACCGCCTTCAAACCCCTAGCTACTCTAGAACCCGTTTCTACATTCCCAGGTACAGGGATGACATCCGACCTTCTAGGTTCAGGGAATGCTAGAAGGCATAGAGGTACAGGGGAACATGCAGGGTGTGAGGTTGGGGAACTTACAAGTCTGTGCGCCAATCGTAGAAAAGATCATTCATAGCATACATGACGAACAGTATTGTTGGGAGATGTTTCAAGCCAAAACTTTCAGGCTTAGGGCCATGGGAGTCAAAAGGATTCTCAAGAACAGAGTCAAGCAGGCCTCACATGGTTGAGTTGAATTCTTGTTGCGACACTTCAAGGAATACTGTAGAAGCCTGCATTGACAAGATCATTTTATGGTCTATTCGAGGTATTCTATAGCATACTTGGGTAGAAGTTCAAGCCAACCTCCGCTTGTGGGAATAATCACAACCCACCCTAAAGGAAACCCCCCCGCCTCTAACTAGGCTTAATGGTTTGGGGGGAAGGTGTCTTTTAGGGGGGGATAGTGAGTGTTCCCATGGTCCACACAACATCCTGTACCAGGACCAATTGCAGCACAGAAGCCTTGCTGGCATCCAGGCTCACATACCTGGATGGTCATCCATATGAGGCACTGCCAAGGAGGTGATTTGGGTTTAGGGTGGGTTTTGGGTATCTAGAAAGACTATACTATTCTCATGGAATATCATCCCCACTAGAAGGATTTGCAGACGTCAGACCCCTGATTTAAACACACTGCCTCAATTGGGTCTTGTGATTTCTGCCTGGTCCTCCCTGCCAGAGCCTTTGAAATATGGGTGCCGCAACGGTGCCGTGCTATTAGCAGTAGTATGCCCTTTGTACGCTTGGTTCTGAACACATTTCAGGTGATGATGACAAAAAAAAACATGGCCCAATTCGGCGTTCACATGTCGATTTCTAGATTCCAATTTTCCCCAGATTGGGAACCTTAAAGGCAGACCTCCGGTAAAGAACCCAGGAAATCCTGACAGGCTGAACTGCTTCCTGCAAATGCTATCCTCGTTCGAGGGGGGCCTGATTTTGGGACATCTGCCTCAATCTCATCCCTCCGACTAACATGGAACCCATATCCGGACAGAGGTCCCTGTACGGGAAATGCGTCTAGTGGCAGCCTAGATGCTGCTTGCAGATGGGTACGAGCTCTATCGCGGGCTGCCACACCAGAGGTGACATGCCTACCCAGACTGGGAGGATCAAGGAGAACCTCCTTAAGGGTTCGGAAATTCAGAGCAGGATAAGGTACCACATTGGGGGTTCTTGTCGGGTCCTCTAAGGAGTCTGACTGCAAGACCATCTGCACAGCCTGCACAGCACATCCTATGCAACATCAGGCAAGGCCTGTCTCCCAAGAGGCGTTTATACCTTCTTAGGCAAACTCAGACATCCCAGGGCCGGAAACCCCTAAGCTCCAGAGTTTAGGACTATAGTCCCCCTTAAGTAGATAGAATATGGGATATGTGGGGATCTTATTCTAGTATAACCAAAGCCATAAACTTTTTTTAAGGGGGACTATAAGGGTACTGCGACGGCGAGCATCCACCTAGCCCAAAGCTGGGTCACAGTACAAGAAAACATTACTGGTGCTTAAGGTGAAGTAGGGAAGGGAAGAGTCCCCCTTGAGTAGATAGAATATGGGTTATAATCCCCTATTATCCCCTAGAATGGAGAATCAAATGGAAAAGAAAATGGAAAATGAAATGGAAATCAGGGGAATTAATTCAAAGGTATGCGAGTGGCACACACTCCCCCTCAAGCACTACTAAGTAGACCCGCGCGCCCTAAAGCCCCCAGTGCTCCACATTGCAGGACCAGCCTAAGACGCCTTCACCATCGGGTTCCAGCTCCCCGCCCTGCAGTGCAACGGGGCTTGGGGCTTGGGGTCTCAATGTTGTAGTTTACTGTGGTATACTGTAGTGTACTATGCTGTGATATAGTATACTATGGTATGCTATAGTATACCATAGCCAACTATAATATACTATAGTATAGCATAGCATACTATAGCACACCATAGTACACTGTAATGTCTCCTTATATACTACAATATACGAAGTTATATATTTGGCATATCATGGTATGTTCCCCGACAGTACATCCCTGAGACCTACGAACCAGAGGGAGAGCGCCTTGTCAGTCTCGAAGGACTGGTGTGCCTCCATGCAGACCCAGAGATGGCCTCGCAAGGGCTTAGAGAAGCAAAGTACTGAGGAAGGGATTTAGGGTTTTTTAAGGTTTAGGGTTTAGGGTTTAAGGCGGGGGGTTTGCAGGAAAGCGGGAACGAAGGGAGGAAGTATTTCTGGCTTACGGCTTGGTACAAAAAACTTCAAAGCCAGACCAGGTAAAGTCTCTCTACAGACAATGTACAAGGCTCTTATTATCTGCTAAGAAGCAGGCAGTTTGACCCATCCCTTGAACCCTCCTTGCTACACCCTGTATGCCCAAAATGGGTATGCCTGACCTTTGCGGCCCTGGACAGTCAAAAAACCTGGGGCAGAACTCACAGCCTCCCGAAAGCTGAGAAAGGCGAGGCCAATTGAAGATCACGCAGATCATGTTGCCGGACTGACCTGCACTGTGTTTCAAGCAGAGTTCAGAGTTTAGGGTGAGGCAGCTTGAAGGCTTACGCAGGCCGCTGTCTCAGTTCCAGCTTTACACGACGGCCTGCAAAGGCCTGGCGAGCTGCTCTTACCAAGTCAGGAACGTCGTCTATTACACAACAAAGCGCTCCGAACCAACATACAGTTTGCCACAACGCCCATTCTTCCTTTAGCCGTATTGGGGGTTAGGCGCTTGCGGCAACATCATTCCAAACTGGGGGATCCAGCTGTCGGCTTGAAGACTCCAAGTACTGAGACAGCGGCCAACTACACGCAGGGCGTTGGGGACGTCCGGCAGCTTCCAGGCGAAGATCTCGGAGGGCCGGGAGTGGACGGGGTCGAACTTGGAGATGTCGCTGGAAGGACCTGTAGAGCTGTGGAAGTTTGCGGAGCGGCTTAGGCATGGGCTTGTGCTTAGGATCTTGGATTAAGTGGGTGTACATTGGGAATAACTATAAAAGGATGGAATAGAGCGAGTTCTTTCCTGGAAAGCGAGGAAAACACAGGTGGCTAGTGAAATGTAGTCTTGGGGCGGCCGGCCCCTCCCCCTCCCAACAACTTTTTCGTTATGTTCTTCGGGATCCAGCTGCTTTCCGTTGCCAGACTTGTTTGGTGAGGTTATAATCTGCATCCCCCCTTTTTTACCTGAAAAGGAGTAAGGAGAAAGAGGAGCATTATTACACTGACAGCTAGCTCGGTCTGCTTTGCTCAGGCCTCTGCAGCTGTATGGTATACCAAAGGTAAATGACCTCATGCACGAAGTGATCATGTTTCATCGGCAGTAAGTCCTGATGTTTGACCTGCAAAGTAAAACTACTGCACGCACGGACCTGAGTGGAGGACAGACAAAAAAACAAATACTGGACTGCTGCTCGGGTCTATGCAGGGTCTAGAAGCGTATTCATTGTTTTCTTGCCTCGGTTTGTTTATTCGCTCTGAGTGCGCAAGTGCATTCATGAAGAGTAGTAACAAGGGTTCATAGTCATAGGGCAGCCCCTCAACCCGAATAGCTTCATGATCCCTGAGTGTCTCTGGCAAAATGGACGCAATCAATGCGATGGCCTCTTCTGAAATCATCACACAAGCCATTAGACAGATCAATTGAAAGCTTTGGCTACCACCTCCTAGGGGTTTCACAAATCATGAGCACCCAAATAGACACCAAAATATCTTCATCCTTATCCTTATCCTTATCCTGGGACCCCGAAGCGACCCCTAAACCCTACGTACCCCTATACAACCCCTCTACACCCCCTACATAACCCGTCTCATCCCCTTTTAAAGGTACCACTAATTTTGGGAAACCCTGAACCCTGAAACCCAAAACCCTAAAAATCCTAGACCCTAAACTCTAAACCCTAAACCCTATATATACCCTATAATCCCCTTTTACACGGGACCCCTAACTCGGGGAAACCACCATCTCTGGCGGCCAGGCAGCGGTCTGCACAGAGCCGGAATCTGGCTTCAGTAGGCGTAGGTTTCCTTAGTGTCAGGGAGGGGTGGGTTTAGGATTTAGGTTTTAAATTGTTCAAGGTTTAGGGTTTGGGTTTTAGGGTTTAGGGTTTTAGGGTTTGGGGGTTTGGGGGTTTTGGATTTTGGGGTTTAGGGTTCAGAGTTTTGGGGTTTTAGATGGTTTTAGGGTTTAGGGTTTAGGTTTAGAGTTTGGGGGTTTAGGGTTTAGGGTTCAGGGCTTTAACATTTTCAGGCCAACCCCTGAACCCCAAACCCTGAGCTAGATCGTACAAGTGTAGCATTGTTTAGGGTTTAGAGTTTAGGGCATGAATTCTGAATATAACCTCCAGGAGTCCTTTGAACCTCTCGGTGTTCTCCTCTGCTGTATTGTTGTGTTTCTTGCTATGATCAATGTTTTGCAGCTAGAACAACGATAGTTGCCAATACGGTCAACCTTACTCTTATCTTTGCGATTATTCACGTTACTACCATATGTGGACTTTGGCAAATCTCCGCATGACGGTTGTAGGATGTTACAATGCCCACATTGAAGCGCCCTATACACTATAGTAGGCTCCATTTTATATTTCATTATCCCTATATAGCCCTTGTATGCGATAGTAGTTTCCAGTTTCTTTTCCATTAACCCTAAACCCTAAACAGTGGTTTCCATTTCATTTACTTTTCCATTGTCCCTACATGGCCCATAAATGCTACAGTCCTTTCCATTGCCGCCAAGAATCGTTTGGAAAAAGAGCCGGCTTTCTTGCTCCGCATACTCGAAGTCACAGTCATCCACTTCATCAGCCTCCTGGCGCCATATGGATTCTCATGGTTTAGGAGCAGTCCAGAATCTGTTCTTGCTATTGTTATTCTTGTTACTATTATGTTTATTGTTATTATGATTTGCTGCACTCTTATGATTAAGTCCAGAATTTGTGAAAATCCAGGAAATCCAGGTACACCTTCGAGCTCAAAGGCACCCTTTGCGTAGCAAATCCCAGAAATCTTTAAGCGCTATGTACCCTCCCGGCCTGATCCAGTGGAACCAATGCCTCAGCACTCTCAGCAGGTGCTGGAGCCTTCTATTTCAAGCGTGCTGGCCAGTCTTCTGCTCTGTGAAACCACGGAAGGCAAACTTGCTGCTTTCTAACCAACTGCAGCAACCAGCAAGATCATTCATAATGCTGAGCCAACCCCATCTAGCCTGAGGACCTGCAAGAACCTAAAGCTCCTACAGTTGAGGGAGGGAACCCTGCACCACCACTCCAAGTTCCCAAGATCCTAAGAACTACGTTATGGGGTGTAGGGTTTAGGATTTAGGGTATTCCAAGGACCCTGGGCGGCGCAAGATTTCATCCATCAACAATATCCAAGGATTCCCGCGCTTAGGCTCTAGGTTCAACATGATTGTCAGCATCTGAGGGGGCATCTAGGCTGTTCCAAACAAGGGCGCCTGATCAGTAGGAGTCTCTACAACACATATGGTAGCTTCCTTAAATAGGGGGACCCCAATATTGACCCCAAAATACTACAGTCCGTAGTATGTTGACTCCCAAAAAGGTACACCTAATTTTGGGACACCCCCCTATTCTCGTACTTCGGGGCTGTGGAGACATGATCCGACTCGATTGGGATGAATCCAGGGGCCCTAAACATCCCCAAACCCTAAATAACCCATTATAGTAGTTTCCATGCTCTCTTCCATTATCCCCATATAACCCCTACATACTATAGTAGTTTCCATCTTGCTTTCCATTATCCCCATATAACTACAAACCAAACACAAGGCTTGAAATGCCACTTCCGGCCAGAGACCCTCTGCTCAGTGCTTGCTCTTGCATGAAATCTCCGAGCACTTTTTAGCCACCATCCAAGTGCCCCGTAAAATCCTACATAAACCGAATAGTTGAATAGTGTTCCCACCCAACTATTCAGGCTTATGCAAAGATGGGCGAGCCGCAGAAACATTGTTCGAAGCTGGCTCAGAAAACAGCATTGCAGCGGGCACGGGCTCCCAGTCAGTTTCCTGAGTTCCAAAATAAGCTCGCGGGTAGGATTGGGACAGGTCTCCATGCTTATAGCCACCCATGAAGGCTGTACGCGAACAGAGCGCAGCGTAAGTTGTTGGCAGCAAGATGGAGTAAGGATGGAGCGTCCAAAATGTGGGGTACCCGGACGCAGGATTTGAGTGTAGAGTTCGGGGATCAGCAAAAAGCAGAAGAGGTCTGGAGGGGCACTGACAGGATCTGCTTTAACTACGTAGATTGTATTACGCCCAAGGTAAACATTGCCTATCACACCCCTACTTGCAAGTGAAGAGCTCAAGGCTTCGACGCTCGAGGGGCTTGGGCTTTAGGGTTGAAACTCTGTACTAGCCTCCATCAATCGCTGCTCGTGAATTCTGCAGGACTCCCAGAGCACCTCCCTTGAACTGAAGCCCTTTGGGGCTTGCAGGGCTTCCGAAAATTAACAGCCCCAACCAACAGCAACCCAACCGGGCTGCCTCCTCGCCAATGTGGTGCCTCAGGCCCCAGAGTATGGCGAAACTTCTGAGCAATTCTACCACGAGAGGGGGAGGGATTTGGGGAATGTACAAGGTCGCAAGGTATGTAACCATTTCCTTGAACTTCTCAGTTGAGCTTGCCAGCCCTTCACTGTCAAGCCTTCACTGTCTTTGGGAATCCAGCGCAAGATTCCCACCTGTAAAAGCAGCAGCAGCAGCAGCGGAAACAGAAGCGGTCATATCCTTTGCTAACACTGGCCGGGAAGTCCAGGCGGGGCGAAGATACATTGCTGTACGAGCCCAATCGCATCAGCCCCCTGCCCCTCGTTCGCACCCCAATTAACTTAACCTTCTTCGCCCGCAATTGTTCAAACTTGCCTTTACGCCCAATGCTGGGTAGCAAGTTACAAGCACCTCAAATAAAGTTGAACCTATACTGTAGCTGTCCCACCTTGAACCCACTTATCAATACCCATGAGGCTGCAAGCATGAGTGGATTTTGTTTGGAGATTGGACCGAGTCCCGGGCTGCATTTCGAGCTTGTACTCCTGAGCTGACTAGGAAATGGTGGGAGGCTCAGAGGCAAAAACTTTGGGGCAAAACAATCGAGCCGCATTCCCCAAAGGATATTCTGCTAGCACTGAGCCCTGCGTCTCTGCAGGGTATGCAGCATGCACAAAGCCAATGGCAACATGACAGTAGGAATGATGTTCATCGGAATCTGTCTAACAGCGCAGCAGTGCGGACATGTAGAAATTTGCGAATCACGATATGCTGCAACAACAGTAGTTACAGAAGCCACAGAAGCAGCGATGCCAATACCAACAGAGAGGAGAGATCAAAATCCCACGCCCACACGCTTTGAATGCCTGAACCGTAACCCCTGTGCTGAGCCCTAGCCTCCCAAACTCCAGCCCCTCGAACTCCACTTGCCTACATGCCCAAAACTCCGAACTGCTCGACCCCCACAAGTCCCTGAAGCCTCTATATCCTGCCCCAAGCCATAAGCCCCAAACCCAAACCTTTACCATTTCAAGTTAGCCCAGGGCTCCAGAGGGGGCAGCCCATCATTCAGCTCCCGCACCTCCACCTACAGGGCTGTTTGTGGATAATAGAACCAAGCAAGGTCAAGAAACCCTGAACCCTTTAGCCCTTGGGTTTCAGGTTTTGGGGGGGTTCTCAAAATCATACCGAACCCCCCTTCTTGCTTTGCATGGTTAGGGTCTCTTCGGGCTGCACAGTATCGGCGGCTCCATTTCAGATAGTGGCCCCGCCAACAGTCAAAGATAGAATCCTTAGTCAAAATATGATATCACCAATATTTCAATAGCGGAGGGACTCTTCTGAGGTGTGGCCAGTACCCAAGCTGTACCGTCCCTGTTTAACACCCAAACTCTTAACCTTCAACCCTACAGCCTCAAGCCTCAACCCCTTAATCCAAAACCCTAACGCCGAAACCTCAACCCTAAAATACCCTAAACCTCCAATCCTGATCAGAGAGACTTTGCAAATTCATTAAGAATGTGGCTGCCTGGCGTTACCGTACGGATTTAAAGGGTAAAAAGTCCACGTACTTAGTCGCCCTGACCCTCCAAGTAGGCCTACTTAACATACTGTTGACACAAAAAATCCTGCATGACCTTAGTATATTCCCCAAACCCTAGACCCTAAACCTCTAAACCCCTAAACCCTAAGCTCTAAAGCCTAAACCCTATTCACAATTTCTAAGATAGAAGTATCCAGGATGTTTAGTATCCACCGTACCACCCACCTGGGGTTTTGGCCAGTGAAGGTGGATGATCTCCTAGGTTCAGAGCTTTTTGTTTAAGGAATTTAGGGTTTAGGGCTTAGGGTTCAAGGTTTAGGGTATAGGGTTCAGGGATTCGGGGAAGGGGTGTAGGGAGTAAGGAGCTGAAGTTGCAGCTTCAGGTATTGAAATTTGAGGTTAGGGGCGGTTGTGCATTTGCAGATGATACAATAGCTACAACTGGTTCTTAAGGCCGCATTTTACGGGGGAACTGTGCGCAGGTGAATCGAGGAGCTTTGTAGGTTGTACGGTTGGGCAGCTAGACGTACGACTCAGGCAGACACTAGACCCCAATAAGTAGATAGAATATGGCGTTGGGCATATCTAAAAAGATCCCCTTCTCCCCCATATTCTATCTACTTAAGCGGGACTATAGGTTCAGAGACAGTAGGCCGATGGCGTGTTGGGCTATCAGGGGCTCAAGGGCTTCAGGCGGTTCGGAGCATGAACTAACGATTCCAGGCGAGGTGGGGCACAGGAGATCGGGGGCCAGCACCTGTGAAGCCCCAAACCCTAAGACCACAAGACGCTTCCCTACTGATTCTCGGCCCTAAACTTCTTCTGATGTAGTTTTGGGCATGCCCTGCCCGCCACCTGTCCAGACATGAGCAAAGGCTCTGCATGCGTGAGGCTCTTGTGCTTCCGGTCCTGTTCAGCCAGGGGTCTAGGTTTACATCCAGGGTTTGCGGCATTACCTGGAGGTTGTGCATAGCTGCAAATTAAGGTACAGATAAGTAGGGCACATGTCATTCATTACAGCCTCTTTGTGAACCATCTTGCTCCGCACAGAACTCCCAAGTAGGGCGTGGTCCAGGGATCCGGGGGTTGTTTTAACTTCGAACATATAGCTCAAAGGTGAGGTGTGGAAATTACGGCTTGGAAGCCGGGATCTATCCCGCTTACTTACATGCTTAAAATCCGCGTTTCCTGTCTTCCCCCATCTGCAAGGCAAGATGATGATCAGTCAAACCAGT